CTCCTGTTCCATTATCTGGTATGTACAACAAAGCAGGTGGAAAAGTCAGACTTACTTTCAAAATGGAAGCAGACCAGTTGTGGTTAGGAACCAAAGGTAATATCCTGTTAAAATATCTTTTCCTAAATATTTAGTTGTTAATAATAGTAAGTTTAAAAGATGTTCTCGGTCCATTGTTGTGTAGTAAAATGGGTCATGATACAGAAAGAAAAAGACTGTTTTTCCTGCACGTTGATTTTCGAATTTTCAAGTCTTTACAAAGAAGAGTAATTAGTTCAGGGAAGAAAATTAAAAACTAAATTATAATTTGCTAGAGAATTGTCCAACTTAGTAGTTCTGACTTAGAAAATGTTTATCAAGAGTAAAAGTTTGTTTTACTTGATCCATTAGTTTGAAACATGATAGTGAATCTATTTCTGTAGATTTTTTATTAATAGTAATTTTGTAACATGTATTTTTACTTTGAAGTTTGTTTGTGCTTTACCTTTTTCATGTTTCATTATTGTTATTGTACTATATTATAATAAATTCAATATTACAGAAAGAACAGATAAAATTCCCATGCAATCTATAAAAGCTGTAGTCTCCGAGCCAATTAAAGATCATGAAGAATATCATATCATGGTAAGTAAAGATTAACTTTTTAGTTGCCAGAGTTAGCAGTTAACAGTTAGAGGTAAATAAAATAACATTGCTTGAAACAGGGATTAGTTTTGTTACCTAATAACCTACTTCCCAGAGAAAAAATATAGCAAAAAGTGTGTGTGGGGGGGGGGGGGGGGAGCAAGTTATTTTTTTGTATTGAAACATTTCTTAATTAGACTTTTATTCTAACAAAACCTCATTTCAGCCTTTTTTTTTTTAAAATTGCTCTTGATGTAATTATTTCTGATAAGTCATGGAAGTTAATTTTTAACAGTATCCAATTGTTACAAAACTTAAAACAACTCAATCTGTCTGTCTGGAATTTTGTATAAATATATTACTCCCACTTCCCACAATTATTCATTGTGGATGACAACACATGAATTAATCCATAAAAAAGTTACCTATTGCTTAATCTATTAGTTGTAATTTGTTTGTTTTTTTATTTAATAAAGAAATCTACTAAGGTAAGGAAGATAAGTCTTGTGTAGAGAATTAGGTAGTTTGCTTAAAATGTTAAGATATTTACTTTTCTAGACTTTGAGTAGTAAAAAAACTCCAGTGGGGAATTGGAACAAAAGTGCCATTATACCTGTGGGTAAGGATTTTACCCAACAGTCACAAATGGACTGGAACCTGTTCACCTGAAGTCTTGTCTGGAGGTTCCACAATGACAGCAACCATTGGCGATTTTTTAGATTGTACCATTTATGTGTTGCACTGAATCTGGGCCTCCCTAATACGTGGCTGAAGAGTGCGCTAACCCTAATGGAATTTCTTCATATTCCTTTGCTGTAACTGCCACAATGCAGTAGAATGATTGGCACACCAGCCTGCCCATTATTGGCCATCCTCCTAATTAAAGGCAATGCAGACTAATTGGATTGTGTTGTCATTCCTGATTTAATCTGGAGAAGATAAAAGAACAAAAGCTCAATCAGGGTAACACAATGGAGGCTGTGTATCCTACCCCCTATAGGCTTCTCTAGGTTCCACCACTAGAGATTTCCACCAAGGCACCACGATGCTATGGGGGCTGGAATCCTTGGTTTTATAAGTACTTGAATTGCTAAGCAGCTAATACCTCAGCGTTCCATCCATCATGAAGGCTTGAGACCCCGAATTCAGCTTCAGACTTGAGCAACTGTTTTTATTTAAATAGCCATAACTGAGCATTTTATAAGCTTGAAAGTTGCACTAACCTAATACAATTAATACAAATATTTCCAATCACACTAATTCATTACATGATGGATTCCAAATAAAGGATGTCACTCAATATAAGCTATGCTTTTTTTTTTAAAGTTATTTATTTTTATTTTACTTGTAAATAGAGGGCTCATGGGATCAATGTTTTATTATTTATTTTAATGTAGGGTTATTTATATTTTTTGAATATGCACAATTTAATTATGAACCATCTATTTATATATAAATATATATATAATAGTATATTTTTTAGCCTGTGACCAAGTCTATTCTGTATGTACAATTACATATTTTTTTTTGTTCAACATAATTACTTTGATTTTTGTTTCTTTTTAAATGTAAATTTGACATGTTCTTAAGACTTATGAATTACATATCATTCTGGGGCTTTTTTCTAGTATTATTGATTCTTTTACATTTTCTGAATGTTCTATTCATTCTTTCCAACATTATATCTGTTTTTTTTCCCTATTCGTCTGCAGGGTATACAGCTTGGCCCAACAGAGGCTTCACGTTACTGGGTCTACTGGGTACCTGCACAGTATGTTGAAGCTATTAAAGAGGCTATCCTGGGCAAGTGGCAATTCTTTTAATTTCTTTGCAGCATCCTTGAGGTTATTTTGGACTTAAAATCTGACTGTATTTATGTATAACTGTTTTGTCATGAGAGTAGTGATATACCTGAAGAAAATGGACATTTATTTTGATTAATGCCTACACCAGGACTTGTGTTTTAATTATTCTTTTGCTTTTTTTTTTTTAACTTTAAACAGTAGCCAATATGAATTATGTTGTCCTTCATTTCCAGTTGTATTTAATTTTTCTATTTAAAATGATTGTTTCCCTTATAACTTTTAGAAACTATATTTTGTACATTTGAAACAAAATAATTATATAGGTAAGGATACAAAACTTTTGATAAAAGGCTATTGTCAATAGAAACGGCACAGAAATATTTTTTTAAGATTTTCAAATATATTCATTTTCTTTTTCCTAGTAAACTCAACAAATCTGCTTAACCTCAAATAGTTCTGGTACTTAACATTGAAACTTTTGACCCAGAGATTCATAGAATTCATCTTTCTACCTTTAAAAATGTTTTGAAGCATTTACGTTCTTAAGTAATTCAAAATAAATGCTAACCTCAACATTAGTTCTCCCATTTATGCACAAAAAAAAATCTGGAATTGCACATAACTAGTCTGTATATTTCTTTGGCAATATAAGCTTTACTTTTCAAAATTGTTCTGTAGAAACAATGATTTGGCTGGTAAATGTCTGAAACACTGCTTTCACCCTTTTATCTATTAATTTTTTCTGGAAAACTTTTTTTAAGCTGGTGTATTCACCAACGAAAAGGGAATTGAATTTTCTGTAATGGAAAACATCTGAAGAGTTAATATCTAATTTTTTTTCTTACATATTATAGGTCATTTCTATAGATACCCATCTATCAGTATTTTCTTTTGGTAGGAAAAAAAAATATTGATTTTTTTTGGCTACAATTTATTTTCTGAAAACTAGATCTTTCATTTGTATTTTTGGTTTACCACATAAATCATTTACACTTTTTTATAACAGCTTAAATTGGATATAGATCTACATTCATTTTAATATGAAAGCCAATGTATTTTATTTCTATTATTATTCTTAAAAGAAAAAAGCTCATGCGTAGAGTAAATTCACTTTCCGTTTCTTTCCAAACACAAAGACGGATATTTCAATCTATTTTTGTTTGATTGAATCAAACAGTACAATCCTTTGCCAAAGCTTTATACCACATCATTCTTATATACATTTTTAATTGCAGGTCTCGAATGTTTTGTTGTTCTAGAAATGCTTTGTGAAAACAATGTCTTGACCTTTTTTTTTTTTTTTTTTTTTTGGAACATGATACAGACTTTAATTGATTTTGTCTTAAACTACTTTAAAAACTTGTCTTAATTAAAATGTTTATATGTTAGAGTTAATAACATTTGAATAAACAATACAAAATTTTTGTTTAAGATATGTGAAACAAAGACGTACCAATCAATTTCATAATTCTTCCACTTGCATTCTTTTTACTGGGCAATCAGCTTATATGGGATTTCACAAGCACCCCCACCCCTAAAAAAATTAACCTTTCTTTCTATCACTTAAAAGTCCACCCTGTTAATTTTGGTGATGTAAAGTTTGCATGTTTTAGTCATTGAGTCCAGTTCAACAGGTTTCTTTTTCCAACTTAAACTCCTTCCCTATCAGTTCATGCCACTACTTTTCTTCTCCCTTTAAATAACTTTTCTCTATTGACCTGAAGCAGTATTAGCCATTCATGTATAGAGAAATAATGTAAGCTTGAAATTCCTATTGTTTGCATATATACTTCTCCACATGACATTTTTGGCAGTTGAGAGTCATGCGTTTCTTATAAGCTAGTCTCCTACCAACATTGGTACCAATGGACCAGATTGTGCGATATGATGGAGTCCTTGCCAGTTTTGTTATCCATCTTCAGAAGAACTCTCTTATAGCTTCTGTTATCTATAGTTTCTTGTTCCCCATTTGGTAATGTTTCTCTTTGCTCTGACCACTATCAATATGCAATAGAATCAGTTCCAGGTTCACAGAATTTCCAAAGGAAAAAAAAACAACTTTTTTCTCTGTCTGTTCCTGTTAATGTAAAAACATTTTAAATTTTCAAATAAAAGAAAATGTTTTTACATGCAGGGATTTAATTTCAGTATTTTGTTTTGCAACTTTTGAACGAACTCTAAATCCAAATGGCAACAGATTTTTGTTGGAGTGAAAGTCAGTTGTGTGACCTTATGAAGCCCATTTTTTTTAAAGACTCTGAAACAAGGGTTTCATTCAGGAAATGTTTAATACACCCAGCACTTAGTGATATTTCTAATAACATTACATTAATTGAGGCATTTAATCATCTTTTTTTTACTCTATGTTAGCTATTTTAATTAATTTTTCTAAAATGACTCTCCAAAACATGTCCCAATATTTCAACTACCGGTACTGTATTACTAGAATTCTGCAGTTTTTTGTTCCCAATAACTTTATAATGTGTCTCTTTTGTTACCATTTTGTTATCAAAGACTAGGTAGTCCAGTGTCCATCAAAGACTAGGTAGTCCAGTGTCTATCAAAGACTAGGTAGTCCAGTGTCTATCAAAGACTGGGTAGTCCAGTCTATCAAAGACTAGGTAGTCCCAGTTGTTCTTTCTTTTTATTTTGCTTCAGCTTGGTACTTGGCCTATTTTTGATGTCCTATAAAACAATTGTTTAAAATGAAGCCAATATGTTTATCTGCTAAACATTGAGTGTCTGATAACAAAATGACAGTATCGGCTTGTAACTGTGATGGAAGGAAGTCTATTGTGACAACTAATGCTTTTATATTATGATAGACATTTGGCCACAATGTTTGCATTTGAAATGTTTTTATGAAGATTAAAACTAAATGAACATTGACGTTTGGTTTTCTAAGTGTTTTTAACTTTTTATGTTTTTTGTTGAACAATGATTGATATGGTTTATGTCAATGTCATAATAATAATAATGATTTTATTTTGAAAGCTATGTTAACAAACATAATGTAGGTTCAAGGCGCTTTAATAACAGAACAGTCGTATACACAAGAGTTACAATGACGAGCTAATCTAAAAAAAAGTTTTAAACAGATATCTTGAATGTTGTGAAGCATGCTGTTTGTCAGAGATCAATGGGTAGCGAGTTCCAAAGGTTTGGTCCGTGCACTGAAAAGTTTAGCAAACCCTAACTTTGAGGGAGAAACGTGGCATCACTGGATGCTTGAGTCAATGGCTCTCTTCGATGGACATATTTGATTCAATGAACCGGGGCCCACACCCGATAGTGTAACAATCACAGGGCTAGGGCCGGATTTACCTCTATGCAACATAAGCTCTAACTTAGGGCCTCCAAGAAATATTTAGTAGTTACATACAATATCTGGACTTATATGGGGCCCCATATCTCAAATAGCTTAAGGCCTTTTTCAAGTCCTAATACCGCACTGTATGGCGTACGGGGTTTCATATCGGCTGGTCACATGACTAATGACCAATTGTGGCCTACCTTGCACTGTATCCTTGTAAAAAATGGTTAAAAAAATTAAAATTTCCTTAAAATATACTAAACGTCATATCAAACTTTATATTAATATCAAAACATTAACCCATGTTTCATATAGAATCATTGTAAGGATACAAACAAGAACTGTTAAAGAATAAGCACAAATACTATCTCTGTTCGTGCAAACCCTAATGACAACGCAGCTAGAACTCTCTATAAAGCCTCTTGCCACACTCTGCAGTCAAAGGTCAGGGAACTAAAAAATAATTAGTGGCTTGAGCTGTCCGTAAACATGCAGAGACATGCTGACACTGGCGACACACGCTCTTTCTATGAGTCGCTACGATGTGCCTATGGCCCAACTTACCAGACTTCGGCACGCTAAGATCATCCGATCGTTCTACCCTACTAACTAGCAAGGCGGACATACTAAATCGCTGGGCAGAACACTACAGTATGCTATTTGATGATAAAATGTACTGTCCCCCAGAAAACTATGAGAGAGGAGCTCGACGCCCCACCGACATCTGAGGAAATTGAGACAGCAATATCTAAACTAAAAAAAAAACACAAGGCACCTGAACGATATAAATTACTTAATATGCACTTTTTAAAGCTCACAACTATGTGATTAATGCATTGATTGAAGAAAAGATAACTCTTGATTAGTTTTCTCTTGTGCAGCATTTGTCTCCCCAACTATGTGATGGATATCCCATGATCAGTGTTTCAGTGCAATTAAAAAAAAGGTTTGCCCTCTACCTTGTACAGTGAACTTTTAACCCTGTACCCCGTTTCCTGGCTACGCACATCAATTTGATGCAATTCTACATATATTTTAACACATTAACTGTCATGATCCCAAAACTATAGGATTGGGCACTTTAACCCGATTATGAATGACATCTGTCATTGGAGAAATGTCATCCAGAATGGGAAACCCAATCTGATCACGTGCATAAATTACCTCGTTCACACGTGGTACAATTATCATATTTTGTCATTGAGTAAAAACATTATCCGCGAAGGCTTTTGATCAAACATGGCGAATTATTTTTGCTGATTTATGTGTTTTTCTCACAAAACACTCTTTGTAAAGTTTCTGACACAGGCAATTTTTGAAATAGGGAAACCTAATTTACTAATTTGATTTACAATAAAATGTAATAATATGAATTAGGTAGCCTATAAATTTTTGCATTCATGTATAGGAAGGTTAGGATGACTAGCACTATAGGCCTAAGCAGTGGTTTCCAGATATATAAATTTTTTGTGAAAAAAAAACAACAACATTGCCGATATGCATGCTTTTAAAATATAAAAGCATATAGGCTCTATATTTGATTTAAGACTCACCTTTTTGATATACATTTAGTAAACAGTTTTTAAAATGATGTATGCATAAAACGAGTTTTTGTAGTACTTTGAATATAAATGTCACACTAAGGGAGAGAAATCCGGCTGGTCATGAGTGTTTCTAATTTCACGCTGGACAGATCACAATCGACTGACCGGTGCAAGCTCAAAGGTACGTGAGGAAAGGCGCGGGAAAAAATTACAGACAAAGTCTTCCAGAAAAAGTTATTTGCATACGCATAAAGGGATTTCAAGGTAAAGGTTGTTACAGACGTACGATTTAAGAAATGGAGAGTCGTTAATTGTGGAGAAAGTCAGTTGGTCAATTGTTATTGTACACGTTTGATTAGTCTTTGATAATCATTACTATAGTTGCTGTATCTGCATTTTATCTACATTTTATATTTTGTTTCATGTTTAAGTTTGAAATTATTAACCTCAAGAAAGTTTTATTTAACACTGTGCCATTTCATTGTGCCTTAGTAGAGATTGAACTATATTAACGGCACCTCCAAATCCACATTTGAGATGATTGTGGCGAAAAGTCAACACAGCCCTTTTCAAACACAATCGTGACAAGTAACAATATAACAATAACTCACACTAGTGACAAGTAACAATATAATAATTACTCACACTAGTGACAAGTAACAATATAATAATAACTCACACTCATGACAATTAACAATATAATAATAACTATGACAAATCACACACTACCCCGTCGGCAACACTTTCGTCTATTATGTAGGGGGGGGGGATATTTTAGTTTTTGATAGGCTCTACTTCATAGCTTCTACTGAAACTTGCCTTTTTACCTGCATTGCTTACCAAACGGATGACCTATTGTCCATTGATGGACTATTCAAGAGCTGCCTTTCTAGTTTGAGGGTACACAAACTCTCTGTATAATCTTGTTTTCTTATCGATTAAGACAGCCTTTTCAATGTACTAATTAACATTGCTGGGCAGACTATATATTCCTCCGTCTATAATTGATGTAGTGTGTTGTTAATCTTTCTACAATAAGTCATCTTTTTTTTTTTGGCTTGTCTAACGGTCTTTTTTTTTATATTTCGGCCACACTAGATTTGGTCCAGTTTCGGGTTGGTGCTGTTTGCTATCGATTTTATCTAGCATTTTTAAAAGAATTTTTCACTTCCAAGAATTAATAGCTTTTTTTTTTTGTTAGTCAGTGTCCATCATAGTCCATGTCTCACACTCACAGATGACAACTGGTCTAATGATCGTTTAGTCGATAGTCTTCTTATACATTTGAGACATCATAACAGTGTTAGAAGGTAATATTAACGCTTGAAATTAACTTAACAGCTTGGTCTCCAACATTTCCACGGTTCTATAGCATGTATTCATTCAGTATTGTTAGAGTTTTACCCCTAGTCTTTTACAATATTTAACTAAATTCTTCGATAAATGTGATAACAATACACATCGCCACTCGGAGCTAAAGCATGCACAGTTTTTTTTAGTTGAAACCATTTATCTGTTATGAAAATTATATGCTGTATCGGTTGTCGTTCTTATGTTTACATGTGCTTGTAACTCGTCCGTAAGAATGTGTTCACGAAATGTGTTCACAACAATATCCATTTCGTTAAATTAATTATTTGTAACATATTTATAAAGATCTTATGTAATTCACTCAATGTTTATCTACCATTTTTTTTTCACATATTTCTGTCAATAACATTTTTCAACAGCTTCGTGGATTTGAGAAGACATCGGTGGCAGCGTGGATCAATGGATACTGTCCTTGACCGCAGCTTTGCCCATGGAAGTCATCCATGCTTAGCTCCCAGAACATGACACCACCATAGCCGTTATGTAAAGCATAGCAAGCCTGCAGAAAGTACAGATTTGATTAAAACACCCAATAAACAACATTCCCAGCGCGTCACTTCTCCTTTGCTTCATCTTTTTAATTATCTTTTGTACCAATTATTTTTATTTTTCAAACTGTTTGGAGCCAAAACAGAAACAAACAAACTAAACGGCTTTTTTCATCATGGCAAGATTACTATAATCTTTTTAACGTTTTTGGGACTGGGCAATATTTCAAAAAGTCTCTACAGACTAGAAGCAGTACATTCACAGTTGGTCTTAGCAGTACTCGGAGCCTTGGGCAGTCTTCTCTTATGTTCTGATGCCTCTAACAGAGAATCGGGAGTAGCCTTTTCTACAGTTTGTTAAATCTTACAGCATTATGCTTCTTGCAAGTCTGCTATTATTGGCTTCACCAACCTCACTAAGGAATCTAAGAAACGTTTATGTACTTAAAGCACTATGGTAAGCCAGAAAACCAAAGTGTGTGTTTACTTTCTCCTTGATGCTCTGAACGTTGTCATAGCCGACCCAGTTATTTCCTTGCACAAAGTAAGGGTTCCTCTGTGACTGTTCGAAGATTGGTTGGGCTCCGGCCTTAATCAAGTCACACACCTGACAAAGTAAACAGAATTCATTGGTTGATCTCAGCTCAACTCTGGAAACTCGCCTAGTTCACACTAACAACACTCACACAGTAATCAAACAACACACCAGCACACTTTTTTTTTACACAGATAAGATTTTTTCACCATCGTAAATACATGGAAATCAAATTAGTTACATTTATCAGCCTAGTATGTGTTGCGTATAACTGTTGTTGTTTTTCTTGCATGGAAAGGACTGAGCAATATTAAAACAAGTAGAGAGAGAGAGAGAGACAGAGAGAGAGAGAGAGAGAGAGAGAGAGAGCTAATCTAAGGTCAATAACTCCGCACTTATAGCTATAAATGTCAATAATATAGACGTTATTTCCCTTCTTTGATATCCAACAAAATAAATAATTAACTACCCATAAGTAATTGACTAATTGGACTAACTTTAACTTGATCCGAGAATGTATGTGGTAGAAATAAACAGTACAAGTTTCTAAGGGGCCCAAACCCTATTTATTCAGCCATATTTGCGCATTCTGAAGGATCTATTTCCCTTGTTGTGCTATTCCGCCTCAACGTGGCACTC